TCAAAAAAATGTACAGTGAAGTCAACAAATGTACATGGAAACTCTTATGCAGATGTGGAAACTGCAATGCTTACAACAAACTGAGATAAAACATGGACTGTAAAAGGGGTGAAATTCCCTAGAGCTAATGCTCTGAAGCCTATTCTACTACTACTACTACTACTACTACTACAATGTTTTCAATTAGAGTCACCAATGAATCCTCAATAGAGTCTTCATTTGCCTTCCGCGTCGACACTTGGAGATTTCGTTTTTGTACACAAACAGCACAACGAGACAATAAGTACTTAACTTTTGTACTGTTGAGCTGTGGAATAAGATCTACAGGTAACCCAGAACACTCGTTGTGGTACCATAGCTCGCACGTGTCACATTGAATCCATGAACCGCCTGCTTGACTGCCTTTTTATCATTTCCCGCATTCGCCTCCAGATGTTGTTTGAGCCCTTTGACGTGCCATGTAACTGGTCGTGGGTGAAATCGGTTTGAAGTGTGAAGAAGAACCTCGTTTTAGTTTCAACAGCCTCTGGACATACAATGATTTCGAAACTGTTTAATAAGTTTATCACAAGAATATATCAACAATATATCATTTAACAATAGTTTATCACAACATCACAGCAATATATCATTTCATAAGTTTATCACAACTAGATGATTAACATTTCTCTAACAGTAAAAATTCAAGGGTTTATCAATAATTGCGGTATTCACATAATCTCAGTTTATTTTCTCTTACGCTTATTTGGTTTGTCTGGAATGACTATCTGTTTTTTTGCTCGCCTCCAACGTTACTGCCTTTGGTGAAAGATCAGAGCATGACTAATTATCAATGCAGTAATCTTCAAAGATTTTTTTTGTCTATTTTACCTATGATTGTTTGATCTGGGTCATTGGTTAAGTTCAGATCAAGTTGTGTGCTGGCAGCATTGCTCAAATTTAGGTTATTATACAGAGTATTCTGATACGCTAGAAATATCTACTTTCTACTTCTTAGCAGTTTTTGTTCAATTGACATTACTTTTACCGGATACTGGGTATCCTGGTTTCTTGCTGAAGTCTAACATATCCTTGGTAGTTTGTATCAGAAGGAGGAATTTGTATTTCTTATCTTCCATACTTCCCATGACACAAATGTTTGCAACTTGATTTTCCATGGCGTCGATGATTTTTTTTTGAGTATGCACCACGAATAACCGCAACAACATACTTAAGCTTTGCAATGTTCGTTGATACAAAAATGTCATGCCAATTGTTATTCTGTAATATGTTTCTGTAATACTACAACCAGTAACAGAGATGTTCGTATTTCTCAAACTTGATTTCTTTCGGGAAAATAAATTCTCTTGGTAACAAACTGTTTTGATCTGACATATCGGAAGCAAAGAATTCGAAAATTTTAAGACTGAAAAATTTGAGTTTTAGGCATGCTAAACCTACCCCACCATCTACAATTGGGTGATATAAAAATTTTTCCTTTATATCGAGTCTGCTTGATTTTTTTCAATTCTGCATTTAATAAACCTTGGCATTTACTAACAGTAACCAAGTTAACAGTAGTGTGACGAGCCAAATGAAAAAATTTAGGAAGAACATAAATCTTTACTTTTCCTTAAACTTCTGAGATTTTAAATCTTACTTAGCGTGTCTCTTTCGATTTTACAATTTTTTCGATTGACATGTTCGATATTTTAAGCCAAAAATGATTTTAAACTAAAATCCAAGTGTTAGCTCTCTGCTCCTGAACTCATCCCGCGTATTGATCCCTGGCCTAAGTTTCCTAATATGCAGTAGTTTCTTGAGAATGCATTAAAACTTTTTCGCACATTTTTGTACATCTTCAGGTTTTAAAAATCTAAACCATCTGTACAAAATGGTCAAAGATCATAAAAAGTGTCATACACATCATTATTTCAAAATTTAAAAAGTTCAATCAATCACAAATTGACAAATATTACTCAATTTTTGTAACGATTATTATGTAACAATTTAATTCATTGAGTCATAAATTTCCGAGAGTTTTCACCTTTTTTGTTTTTACAATATCGTTTTGTCGCTAATTTCATGCTAGCATGTAAGTTATTTCAATAGTTTTTGTTTAAGCCAGAATTTTTGATACTGGAACTATAGCCTTAGTGTCAGCTCCCTACTTCTAAACTCGTCGCGCGTGTTAATTGCCGGTCTCATTCCTAATGTGCAGCGCCTTTAATGTAAGTAACTTAAAGTTGCTGGACGCCTGGTCAACTATCTTCCGATTAAACTCCGACTTACCACTCTCACTACTACACTGCCTTATGTGCTGTCCAACTGGGTTATCCTCTTTTCGGTGTTCCTCAATCCTTGTGGTGAGATATTGGGTCGTCTGAACAACATAGATGGATTTGCACCCACAACATTCAAGTCTGTACACCACTTTTGATTTCAGTTCACTGGAAAAGGAGGATTTTTAAGAGGGCATACAAGTTTTCTTTTTCCTCGTCGTGAATATTATTGCTAATTGTGACATTCAACCAGAATGTACGAAAATGCAGGGTCAGAATTCGAAATTTTATTGTGACATCGGAGTGAGAAGATTAACGGTTTTAACAAGTTGGGTGATGCAATTGGGTGATATAAAAATTTTTTCTTTTTATCGAGTCTGCTTGATTTTTATCAATTCTGCATTTAATAAACCTTGGCATTTACTAACAGTAACCAAGTTAACAGTAGTGTGACGAGCCAAATGAAAAAATTTAAGAAGAAATCGTTCATTTTGATAAACGGGGAAGGGTTAATTTGGAGTTTCATGTTAATTTATAAAAATTCGTTCAAAAAGAAAGACACGTGACAACGTCGAAATTTCGCACCAGCTGAAACAGCGAAAACACAACAACAACATTTAGTCTCAGACAGAGAAGAACAATAGAATTCGTAGACAAAAGCAGTAAACGGAAATTGTGTGATACTCATCGAGATTGGAGAAAGCTTTATGAAGACCATTCCGAGTTGTAACGATTGTGCCGCTACAATCGTTACAACGCGAATCCCGAGAACGAGGAAGGGTGTTGGGACGGCGTGTCCAGCCTTGCTGAAAGAAATAAGGACGTTATTTCCCCGGATTCCAGAATCCGGAGGGGTCTCGGGAGGAAAACTCAAACCGTATTTTATAAACTTTTAGCTTCCTGGATATGCCCTGAGTTGAATTCAATTAACATCTAAGTTCGTTTTCAGATAATGAGAAGCCAGGAGTTAAGGGAAAGGGTTGATCCATCTTCGATGGAGATGATGATTTTTATCTACTGAACAAAAACAATAGTAATATAATAAATAAGTAGTAGCCCTGTTTTTAGGAGTGACCTCGTGCTCTGGGGATACTAAGACCCAGCCATGAGCTCACTATTTTTGCATGTAATTCAGTTAATTAGAGCGTTCTGATCGAAGCCGGAAACAGTCGATATGTACTTCCGGGCGAATGTTACATAGATGTTTTTATGGCGCTCCTGGGTGTTATTCTTTTTTAACATCATGACCGGCAGAACCGTTAACGAGCACTCCGCGCCGAGCGGATGCTCAAAACAAGGCCCTAACCACCGGGGTGGAAGGGTAATTCGGAACGCGGAAGCCTTCCGGACTCCCGTGAATAGCTTTTTAAACTAGTTAAGACCGAAAATTCAACTACCAGGAAGGGTGGGGGGATTGGCCGTCCCGTCGTTTCCTGAGAGGTTTGTGACCAAAAACACTTAAAGATATACAGGAAAACAAACAAAAAGTAGTATAGTACCTAAGAAAAACATTTAAAAAATAATCGAAAAAACCAAAAACAGTAAAAAAAAAATCTGCAGAAATCATATTCCCAGACGAGATGTGATCCGACCCTCCCGTTTGTTGTTGTTAGAAATAATGTTGTTACAGGCATTTATATCAGTCAGGATCGTTACGGTCAAATTTGTGGCCCGTTTGTGGTGCTTGTACTGAATGGATATTTGAGTAATTAAACACGTTAATACTAATTTGCGCTCAATCCGGAAGGGTCTCGGGATTAGAGAAGAAGACTGATCCGGCAAGCAGTGCAAGGAGCGACAAGAAGGGGCTCAAGGACAACAAAAATCGACTGTTGGGCATCGTTAACAAGTTTTGTATCTCTTTTGGTTTTGTTGTCTCTATTGTGTCACAATTTGTCTTTGGTGTCTCTATTGTGAACTGTAAATTTGGATGTAGCAAGTTTGCTGCTCGTAGCACCTTTTCAGGATCACCCTTCACTGTTCGCACTATATTGTCAACATAACGGAGAAATAACTTAACTTGCTGTTCTGACTTATTTTTATCCCTTATCGCGATGCATTTTCTACAGTACCAGACGGTTTCACCTATAATTCGATACTCATCATCTGATATATCACCGCATTTTACGTGATACCAGTTCAAACAGCATCCACATTCCACATCTTTTGACCTGTACGTGAACTTCTTATTGCACTCGGGACTTATTCCATTAAAATCTTTTTCGGGTTAAAACCTCGATAGGGCAGTTTCGTACTGCTGATTTTAGGAGTATCATTTTAGGAGTTAGGAGTTTCATTGTGTGTTTGAATGATCTATTATCTCTCAATTCAATTATGCAGTGGTCGCTTCCTCCCCACCCTGACGTATGTGAATGCAAACAGGCGAGTCCTCTTTCTGAGATTAGTTCATTATAGTTTGGTTCAAAATGTCGCCATAGTTGATGTAGTATTCTTTTTTTTTTCAGTCCGATTCTGTCACTGAGTTTCACACTCTTCGGAAGTCTGTTTACTAGTGCGCTTGCTCGGATAAAGAAGTTCTGCTCGCATTTCGACAGTAGTATTCCAGTAATATTATGATTTGCTCTGAAAATTTGTTCAGAGCCTGTACTGCTGAGTTTTCTTGGAATATCGATATGTTTCCTTTGTGGTTCTTGAAATCCTTGACTTTCTTTTAAACTTTGATCTCTGTGATCGCAATGGACAATTTCAGTACATGCGAGATTTTTTGTATTTTAGATGATATGCCAGAAAATATTCAAAACAAATTGAACATATCCCAAATAGCTGACAAGTTGCTGAAAGATGCTTCTGTTCGATGTGAGTCGAATCGTACATTTGTTACAGTACGTTTAATCGTGTTTGACACAGTTATCCAAATTTTATTCGAAATTTGTTATAGTCTCGAAATGTGAAGTCGAGAATCTTCTGAAGTTGTTTTCGAAGTGTTCTCGTGATGCAGAGAAAATGGATAGAATGCGGTTTAGGGATGTTCTTCACAACATGTTTGAGATGACCGATGACATGCTAATGGATCGAAGTAAGCACTTTTTCTTACATCCTCATATTTCCTACCAATTTTTGAAGTTTTTGTAATTTGTTGGCAATATTCTTTTCGGTGAACACATCCCTTGGAGGTTAATTGTCCAAGTTTGCTCATTCTTACGTCGGAATGAATTTTGAACTCATGTCGACACGTAAATAGGATAAAAAATGCGAATAATCCTGGAATGTTCATTTCCTGACTGATATTTTTATTAAGTTCACGGATATTGCCAAGTGTTACTTTTTTTTACAATAATACAGAATCAACCAAGCGACAATTGTTACCACTTGTGCCAAATGTAAATGCAGTTGAGGAAATGTGTGCTACATGCCTATATCGTGTTTTGAATGTTCGCCTGTTACATTATTTCCTCTCCGGCTGAACTTGCTTCAGTTTTCGGCGGAGCTTTGAATGCTTGATGTGTTTCAGCGTTTAAGGCATTTGATCGAGACAATGACTCACTGATCAGCAAAGAAGAGTGGGTGAAAGGGATGTCCATCTACCTCAAGGGATCTCTGGAGGAGCAAGCTAAGTGTAAATTAGCATCTTCCTAATCAAGCCCCCGCTATCATACCTCGTTAAAACTTATTCCCATTCTTCGGCTAAGCTTATACCAATTTTTCGGCTATCTGTTAAAGGCCAAATGCTATTGAACGATTTTAAATTTTTTTTGATCATACGGAGAAACAAATAATCCACGAAGAACAGTGGACTTAAAGTATATTTTCTCGCTTGTACTTAGTTATGCTTTGAAAGGGCAAAACTAGTTGGATGAAACCAGTTTATGTTTTTCGTTTTTACTGAATCTAAAACTGTTCATTCTGACATCATTATTTCAGGTTAAATTGTCAAAAGCACCATTTTTGTTGATTAAGTTGCTGAAGATCACAGATGTTGCACTAATTTGGCCTTAATTGTAACTAAATGCATATGTGTTGACATAGTTCTGTTGTTTGTTTATTTTTGTTTGTGTGTTGTATTTGTAGTCTGTTTCGACGTGTACTCCATGTCAGCTGTGAATGCTACCGAGAGTGTAATCAGCAGAGAGGACATCCACTCTATGCTGAAGCACTGTCTGGTCAAACAACCCACCGAGGAGGATCCGGACGAGGGCGTAAAGGATTTGGTGGACCTCATGCTCAAAAAGATGGTAAGTGTTGTCCTGTTGAAATCTCTGACTCTTTCTGTTCAAAACGACCACTTCACTTGTTGAATTTAAAGTATATATTAAGCTGACAACTGGTTTGATGGTTGCTTATTAGTTAGTGATTTTTATCAACATATAAATATCAATCAATTTCAATACCATTTGTGAAATTATGGCGTGTCAGTTTATGGTTTAGCTATGGAATGTTATGTTTCCCACTCATGCTTTGAACCTTTTTTTATTGCCCCACCCCCTGGGCGGACTGGCCGGGCCTACTTTCCCTGAATAAACTGGATTTTGCTTCTTTTTAAAAATCCCATCGAAGTTGGTGGCACATGTTGTCCTTGTTAAATTTTCATCTGGCTTGATTTTAATTGTTAATTGTCTAATTGATGTTATGGGTGATTTGTATTTCAAATTTAAAACGGCTTTCTTGTGAGCCTTTTAGTTTGAGTATATCTCTCAGTATAACTGTGATTAGGACTTTGACAAGGACGGTAGGCTGTCTTACGAGGAGTACAGGAGATCAGTGGTGGAAGACCCTCTGCTATTGGAGGCATTCGGTCCTTGCCTCCCCTGCCCAAAGGTAAGCAGACGTCAGTTTCTTCACCACCAGAAATGTTATCTTAAAATAGGAAAAGTAGACTAGTTTAAGTGTGAAAGTTTCTGTCATTTTTGGAGGCTGAATAAAATCGGCGATATATTACAAGTTGTATTTATAATGTATTTCTGAGCCAACTGATGGCAAAAGGAGCGTAAAATTTGAAAGTTTGAATAATAATTAATCTGGCAGAATAATTGATATACGAAAACTATCTAAGTAGCATGTACTGTTGACTGAAAATCAAATGAACATATTAGGCAGTATACTTCTCAACTTTATTACATGCATATTTCTCAAAATTGTCACCTATTGTAATTTTGCTGCAATAAATTGCGTGTTTAGACGCGTCTGGTGTTCCTGCGCTCAATTGAAGACCCGAAGATGAAGAAGAACAACGGCAACAGTGGCGAAGTGGTGGCAGCAGCAGCCGAATCCAAACTGAGACCAGTGCCATGAAAGTCTCAACTGCGGACTTGGGCTCCTAATCGTTAAGCACAGAATAACTGCATTATTCACAAATCATGTTGTTGTTTACAGAGTTGCTTTCATCGCGTTCATCACAATCGCTTCTGTTAACCTCAAAAAGAATCGGATTTTTGGGGGGGGGGGTTTGGTACCTGGAAAGCGGAAAAAATAAGGTTCGAACATGCTGAGAATTTGTGAATCGTATTTAGTTTCGAGTAATTTATGGTTTGAGTATGAATATCTGATAAAGCACAAGTATTTGTCGGTGTTTTTCATTCCTTTCAAAGTGTCATGCTAAGTAGTGTTAGTCACCAATGGCAGGCCGTCTACTTTTTTTCTGAATTGACTATTTTGAAGGCCATTTCATTCATCGAGGGTTTTTTCGTGTCGCTCATTATCTTTTCGAGGATAGTGTTGTGATGGATTGTGTTCGCATGCTTGCTGTGGTATTTGGGAAATAATGTGGCCTATTAGTTAGAGAAGAAGATAATCGAATAAAAACACTGCTAACAAAAATATTTGTGTTCATAAAGTCTCGTATTCGGGGAGCAGAGACATTTAATTATCCGTTAGCATAAACCGTGTCCGACAATCAGACCAATAGCTTGTCCTGACTTTGCCCCTGGCTAATGTTCTTAGTTAAAGCGAACGCTGGTTTAACCGTTAATTGCTGCCGCCATTTGAATGGAACAGTCTCGCTCACTTCTGCTATGAGGTTTGTTTGAGGGGTTCAATACCGCACTAAGCTTTAGATTCTTTTAGTTTTGGTACCCGTTTTTGCTGCAAAGTGTTGACAATTCATATGCACCTGTAGTTGTTTTACCGGGTAGTGTTAGTGCACAGGTTTTTGACTTTTCGAAGAAGAATCATCGACAAAAACGGGAGCTTCAATTTTTTGACAACACAATAGCCATTTAAAATGGCGATATCCTTATGTTGGTCGTTCGGAAGAACGGAATATTTAAATGTAATGATAGAAGGTATTTAAAAAAGTGAACAGTTCAGAAACATAAAGAACTCCGCTTTATTGTAATATATGGTAATTTTTTTCTTTTTAATTTTACCGGAGAACTGCTTTTAAAGTGCGAATATGTTCTATTTCATTCTTAATGTCCTCATTTTTTTTTGCGTTGCGTTCGTTTTGCTGCCAGAGGTAAATGGTGGATCTTTTTTTTGGTTGCATATCCGATCAAAAAGACGGTTTTTTGTTTGCAGCGGATTCCCCTTGTTGTTGTCATTGCGATTGTCGGCGTTTACTCTTTTATTTTCGTTTAACAGCATCAATCATGTGCAATGCTTCAACTGCGTCAATCCGATTTATCTAAGTTTCGACTCGTCGTTTTTGTTATGAACGAGCACTGATACAATGCAATTATGAGTAGTAGTTATCAAGTCCACATCGTTATATGCTTTCTTAATCACTGCCTCTTGTTCAGTAAGCCGTTCCGTTATGTTTATGCCATGCCTGCTTAGGTTGTTTTTCTGATTTTTCAGATCTCCTGGTCTTGTAAATTTCTTGCTTTTCGTCAAAGTAATTGATTGTTGGCATATATTTTTTCCGTTATTCCCCATGTACATGTCCCCCAAGAGAAATGCGGCAGATATGCCTTGAAAATTTTTTTGATATCCGTTACATCATGTACTTCCCTTTAATCGAAAGTTGGATTCCGTAAACGAAAGTAGTGATTTGTAGTTAATCTTTCATTTCATGTTGCGCAGAGCTTTTTGTATAAATAATTTTTTTTCAATTTAAGATCTTTTATTTTTCAATCCTGTTTTGCTACTTTTTCCCGTAAAATTAACAGTTCTGATTCCACATAACTCACATTTTTGTTTCCCATTTTTTACTTATGGTTCCCTTCTAAGTCCCAGACTACTCATGAAGTCGGGTTCCTCTGTCGAATTTCATAATGTTTTTAAAACTCAGTGTGATATAAAAAACGACGAAAGAATCAATCTTTGCTTAACATCTGAATTTGTAAATCAGCGTGGGAAACTTTATGGAATAATGGCTTCTTAACTTATCAGGACGTTGGAATTTGCCGAAAAGGGTTAAGTTTTTAGTTTTGGCCGTTCAATTGAAATTTTTATGTCAACATTTGAAACGCGCGAGAGCAATCGTGTTCAGAACATATGCAAGATCAACCAACCGGTTTATATGTCTTGTAATCTGCTTGATAAAAGTCTCGACGAGCAGAATTAATGGGTTTCGCAAATGGGGCCTCTACTGAAACGCTACAAGCCACATTTTTTGTCAGATTGGATCATCAGGTTTGACGAGGCGAAGGAAATAAAAATTTCATAACTAGTGCTTTGTTCAGTTAGTGCTTTGTTCAGTTCTGATAGAATAGTTTTTTTTTTGTAAACTGTGTTGTGAATAATCTGAAAGATAATTAGCCTTTTACAAAATCGAATGCATGAAAGTTATTTCAAACAAGAACATTAAAAAAGAGCAGATTTCATTATAGCGTTGAACCTTGGGTACCTTTTTGCTAAAAAAAAACATGAAAACTTTGATTGGTGTGAAAATATCTTTTTGAATTTACCCAGCGGCTAAATCTGTTCTGATTGCGTGTAAACCCGAATTCAAATTCACGCTTGCTGAAAACAGAACCTTTTAGACGCACCGTGAAAAGACCGGTGTGAATTAGAATTGGTTCACAGACACAAGGCTGACACTAACAACAAAATGATTACAATTTTTTTTACAGTTCTCTCCGATGGCAAACAACTGTTGTGCTGTTTCGTGACAATTTGTTCCATGGTCGAGGGTTCATGAAGTTTTTTTTTCGGCTTATATCGGGTGCCATTAGTGTCACTTTCCATGTTGATGGATGTCCGGTTTGAAAGTTTAGCAGGCTGTCTATTTAGATAAAAATGGAAATTAAAATTGTTCATAAAAATAGGAAATTTTTGAACTCATCTACGTATTATGACAAAATTTATGTTTTTCTGGAAAATAGAATATTTCTTTTCATGACAATTTTTTAAAAAATCTTAAATGTTTAATTACGACCTCGCAAAAACACTCATGAAATGAGTTTTAAGTGAATTCCATTTATGTAGAATTAATAATCCTATATTTACCTACAAAGCTTGCTGTCTCATTCCGCTTGACAACAGCCGAACGCCCTTCACCCTGATGAGGTCCCCTCGGTATGGGCACGGTAGTAGAACTAAATGGCCTCTCCGACCGTGTTTATTTTGCGCTACATATAGCTATCTGGCGCGGTCTTGGTTGACACGGTAGTCGTAGGAATGAACTTCAAATAGCTGGGCGAGACCATGCAAATCCGTATCAACGATTTCCCTTTTTAAGAGGGTTTGATGGGATTAAAAAAGGGTAACTAAAAATTAAACTTGACTGGTAACAGGACAACTGGTTCGGTTCATGCTTGAGTAACTCGGCTTTTGGGTAAATTTATGGGGTTTACGCGTTAATAAATAGCAATCGAGGAATAACGTTGAACTATGACGGCACTGTCGAGGGTGACTGACTCATAGGACGTCAAATTAATGACTGGTCTATGCTTCGTAAGTAACGGGGTGCTACCCATCGTAAGTCATATACTGTTTCCTGTTGTTAAAAGTTTGCAATTCAGTTTCGTGCGGATCTTGAAGTATGGATATAGCGTTTTCATCCTGCAAAGTTACCTTCCCGAAGCGGTAGAGGATTTGGCTACTGAGGGATAAGATAAAGCCCTACGACGGAATGCCTTACATCGTTTTGGGGATGAATCATGGAGCATGGCTTTAAGCCCTTCAGATCTGGCCTCATGAAAAACTACAATTTTGGTATAAGCGGAAAATTTCATCAAACATTTTAAAGTTTGCGCACAATATTACGAATTGAAACGCAAGTACGTGTAGTTAAGATGATTATTCGATAAGATAAGGTAAACAATGAGTCAGGCTTAGACAAGATCAAGTTTGGAAGAATTGGTCCTCTTATGCCAAAATTGTTGGACCCCCATCCGGAAAAAAACAGGACAACCCAGACGCCATGGGGGCAAGTGATAACGGTTCCCGGAAGTGCACGTCGTCCCAACAGATCTTGATAACTAACGGCATTATTGGGCTCTACTTTAAGCATGCGGCAGACCTAAGCAATGGATGCTTAAGGATGGAACCGCAAACTTTTTGGACCCCCACCCCCACTTCGGATGTAGGCCCTAAGTAAATGAACCCACCCCTAAGTTCCGGTTTTTTTTTATCGAAACCAGGTAATGTTAGAACGCCTATCCTTTAGAAATAACTAGTGGAAATAGAATTCGATCATTGAGTGGGAACAAGGGTGGATTAATGATCTGTATTGAGGCCTAAAATGATATCGTGTTTTTCGTCTATACTGTGGAAAAAGTGGAATTAATTAAAATGGACTTGGTAAAAATTGAGTTGAACTTAGCTTGGCGAATGCGCTTGTGATAGAAGTACGACCTGAACGTAGAAAAGCACTCGCAGATCGGCTAGTTTATATATAAGCAGGGAACGGGAAGTAAGGAACCTAACTAGACGAAGGAAGAGGATATTTAATGTGCTTCCGGGAGGTAGTTTTTTGACCCGAGGGAACATCCGGTGAGGCAATGGCATGAACTTCTGAGCTAAAACGTTGTAATTGGAATTAGATGTAATTTGGATTTTGAGTGCATAAAATACGACTATAGCCCATGAATATATACTTGCCGGCCCCAGGAAACGGAAACATTCACGTGCTAATCAAAATAAACTTTGGGAGGCTCACTGAGTAAACATAGCTCGGTTTAGAGTTTGACTTGAACCCGGGGGCTAGAGTTCACGGAGGCCAGGTATTAGTTGAATAGGATCGTATGAAATTTGTTTGCTTGGGTCAAACTGTAACACCTAACGCATACCTGTATCTACTAAGTGTGATGCACTTAATAAAAGAAACCAAATTTGGCACATGTCAGTGTTGACAAAGGAGGGATGAAGTTTTAGAACATGTGCAGAGAAGTAAATTAAGAGGATGCCAGGGCTGATGGTGAATGGCTTGATTTTAACCAAAACTAAGTGTAATTAAAGATAACGAACCGAACGGGGGGCTAAGGAACCGGAGAGCCAACAAGATGCAGAACATAATAGAACTTGAAAAGCAACTAGGCCTGTAAT